CCTAAATAGAGTTCCCTAATCCATGATATAATATTCAGTTGATAAGAACCTTTACCCTATTGCGCTGCAGTTCGAATATATTTTAGAGCTCAACTGCAATAATGTAGCTGCCACACTTTTTTAGAGTTCAATGATCTTTCTTTTTTTTTTTTGTATATAAATTTGATATTTGGTTTATTGGGTTTCAATTATTCATGTTCACTTCATGTTACTCGAGTTGGTTTTGGACCAACAACGAAGCTTTACTACACATCTGGATTAGCATTATCTTGATTAGCATAAATTAATAAGATTGGCTTTCAATCATAAAATCAATAACAGGCTTATAACTTAACTTGGGTCCATAGCTTAGTCGACCAACAAAGGTTCACAAAGCTGAGCTGGGTTTTAAATGTAAAGCTATCAATCACATTATTTTAATAAAGTGAACCTTCATTGACATTGTAAGCTTGGTAAAATTTATTGAAAAGCTCTCTCACAAACTAAGTATTTTCCCATAATTTAAACACAGTATTCGTTAAGAGCGCGTATTAATTAAAGCCATTAATTACTTGAATCTCACATCTATACAACACACAGACGCAAAAGCTTATTAACAGCTCTTGGCTAAGCACAGATGGAAATGCAAAACTGCTCTAACATGCACACATTTAATAATGCACATGAAGCTGAGCTGATTATATTAAGCCAAAAGCCAACGCAACAAAGCAGTTGACATAGTTAAGAGTCTTAAGCAGCTACTAAGAGTATTCTAAAATCGAAATCGCAAACTGAATCACACCAAAAAGCGACATCCAACGATCTGAGCGACTGGACAACTCAACGGCAGCGTCGGCGTCGACGTCGCTGATCGAGAACTGGCAGCAGCAGCAGCAGCGTCGTCAGCAGCAGCAACAACAACAAACCCGCTTGACTTTGCCTCAAGTTCGAAACGGAACAGCTGTTTTCGCCGTCGCGGTCGCTGTCGATGTCGCTGCGACTGAGAGTGCTTCTGCTGCTGCTGCTGCTGCTGTTAGTGTCGCTTCACGCTTCGGAAATTTTTCGAGATTTTCAGCGACAAACTCGGAATCTGAAACTGGTCTTAAACGCGTGCGTCTCTCAGATTGTATGCGTGTGTGTGATTGTTTGTGTATAATGTGTATATAAATCATAAATTTTTATACGAGTAATTTAAAAAAATTCATACACAAGTTCAGCGGCGGCGGCAACAAGACAACAACAACAAATCGTAACGTTATATATTCATTTGGCAAATGAATTTTGGCTTTGACTTTAATTAATAAGTTGTTAATAATATTTTAAATGATCCCCAGCCTGTGAATTTTTAAATTAAATACCAGAGCCCAGAGTTGGTACATGTCAGTAAGCCCAAAGTCGAGACGTAAAATGACCCATCAAATAAACAAAACACAGCCACAAAAAGTTTTAACCGCTTTTTGCCCTTCTATGGGAATTTCAGTTACGGTCCGAACTTTTGACAAGGACTAAGCCAAGCAGAAACAACGCACATACTCCACAACTGCAGGAAAAACCAAGCCAAAATGGCTAAAAAAAAAAAAGGTGCAGTGAAATTCCCCTGGCATGTGTCTCTCTGCGTCTCTCTCTCTCTTTTTCCTCGAGCCACTGGTTTTGTGTTCCCATAAGCATTGCTGCACATTTGCATTAATATTGTCACATTGAATGGCCATAATGCTGGTCTTAGCCTGAGGGTTTTTCCCCGAAGACCTCAGCTCCAATTGATTACGGCAATTATCGAGCGCGGGAAAGTCCCACGCACAGTAAACAGCAGCAATGTTGATAAACTCCATAAAATCCTGCCCAAAAATTAACATACTAATACGTCATTCAAATAATTATAGATTTAGTAACTGACTTGTTACATTTAGAACGAGATGGCAAAATGTCATATTTCATTATATTATTTAAAAAATATATAATATAAGCTAGCTATAAGCTAGTTAAAAGTAATACAGCAAGATAGCATTGTTTCCTAACATTTGTATGTTACTTTACATGGTTATGTATAGCAAAATATAAAACTTTTAACAGCTGTTCATAATACATATAGTTGACAAGTGCAATAAAATGCGTCGTAATGCTGCGGTGCATTAATAAACAGAAAATAAACTAATGCTATATTCAAAGCTTATTTGAAACTTGAACCATGCAGTGCAATAGAATAGAATTTGAGCACTTTCTATTGTTATGCTGACAATTGTTGGCGTATGATTTACAGATTGTGAAGATCCACTCATAATTGCAAAAACGCTGCCACAAAATAACTCAAGCGACATAACCTGATATTGATATGCTTACGTAAGTTAACAGCTGGTGTTCTCCACCATAAAGTAGAGGCAAAGTGATGTGCGCACCATCCACATCATAGCCCAGAAGCCCACCCACTTTACTTGCCTTAACGCTTGGATTGTCAAACGTCAAGCGTTTTCTGTGGTATTGAAATTCTAGTCGAGATTGCACATAACTGCACATGCACACACTTAGAAACGTCAGTTACACTGAGAGAAAAACTCAAGAGAAATGTCACATCTTAAACATATTCTCAAGTCCTTACATAAATCTTAAGATACGCACTCCTATATAAGCAAATATTCAAAAATCACAATCGCATTCGAAAGTTCATTCATTTCGTTTCATTCAATCGAGTACAACGAATGCTTCAAACTTTCGAGTCATCTGCATTTTCGATACTCGAATCAACAAGTTAACAAAAAGAAGTATTGCTTATCTGTCATTTCAAATGTATTTGTCCAGGATTTGAACAAAAAAAAATAATGGTACATAACAGTTCTACGAGCTAGAATCAACAAGTTTCAATTTATTAATTCATTCAAAATTCATAAGATCTGATAACGAATTAATTGCAATTAGTTTGTTCATTCCATTTTGTTTCTTAAGAGAAAATCCTTTTGAGTATAAGAATTTTAAAGGCTCACTTCGACTTCTCAACAATAATATAGCTAATTAAAAAAAGGTATCCAAATAATTCAATGTATTTAATCTGTGTATTCCAGATACTATTGGTGTCCTTAGCTCCGATAATCTTCGAGATACGCCTAAAATTTGGAACAATGAGTCTATCTTTCAATACTATGAAGAAATGAAAAATAGTGTATAGACTGTATCTAACTAATACTAAAAGGATATTTATATCTAGGAAATGAAATTTTGGAGCAACGAGTCTATCAATATATAATGTGCTATGTATGTATGAATGAAAAAAGTATAGTGTTGTAACTAACTAATCCTAATAGGATATTTATTTTAAGATCACACATATCAACTTGAGTTAAATTAAATTGAAAACAAAATTAATCTGTAGCTAAATAAATAAAAGCCGTTAAGTTATATTTGAGACAGTGAGACAGAGAGATTCTTCTTTAAATTTTTGACTGAGCTATGTTTAGTTAAACGTAACCCTCGAGCATAGAGATTTTCTCACTGATCCTTAGTCAGAATTTAAATTAAGCTGAGCCCAACATGTTTTCACGATTGTTTTATTTGACTAAGTCTAGACGATTATAGAGATTTCCAAAGTCTAAAACCATACTCGAAAGTACTCTATTTTATACTTGTTTATTTACAAGTACTATTCATGCCTTACTTTTAATGACACTCACCTACTCATGTGTAGCATATTTTAATATTACTATGTTAAACATAACACTGAGCTAAGCTATTAAGGGTATTTTTTTTTAAACTGAGCTGCAGGTCAAGCCACGAAACACTCTCAGCTGTAATTGGACAGCAGACGTACATACATGGATGTCGCATCTGCCAGATACAATTTCGATATGGGAATCGATGAGGCTGAATCGACTTGGCTTGTGGCTTGTTGGCTTACTGGTCTGTAGGAGTGCTGGACTTGGCCGGGTCGGCTAGTTTTCATGTTTAATGGTCAAGTGTCGGTGGCGCCACTAAAAATTTTGGCGGCGGACAAGGCGTGGCCGGGCCATTGTTAACGACTTGCAACGCACGAGGCGGCCATAAAAATGCATTTAATGCATTTGGCCAAAAAGGAAATGTTTATGGCCAGTTGTCTGCAGTACAGCGGGTGTGGGCGGCTGCTGGCCCAAGCTGGCAGCTTAGGAAGTGAGAGAGAGAAGCGGAATGAGACAGTTAAAGATCTGAAACTTTGTAAATGTTAAAAACGTGCAAAAGAGTCCAAAAGAATGGAGAGCGTAGCGCCTGGAGAGCGAAGAGCTGAGAGCAGAGTGTAAGGAGACGAGAGCACAGTTGCCACATGTGGTACAAGTGTACCAAATCTGTTGCGATATTTTTACAATATTTTGTGCATTTGCGAATAATTCAAATTCATGTTTTGCACAATAAAAACTATATTAGAATTTAGAAATAAATGTGTGCTTAGTTCTCTATACTTAAATACGTCATTTGTTTGCTTATATGGAATTGGTACTTTTTCAACGGATTTGGTATATTTTCCTGTAATTTTTGGTACAACATATTTTTATCAAGTGGCAACCGTGGCTGAGAGTTGAGAGCAGGCAGGCAGCAGCAAACGATCGTCGCAGGCAGTTTATGTTCTCTGCTGCTGTCGCTGCTGCTGCTGCTGCTGCTGCAGTCCGCGTCGTGCCGCGTAGAATGCAACAAAGCAAAACAAAAACAAAAACGAAAACCGCGAATGCAAAGTGAGCAACATTCGTAAATGTTGTGGTCGCTGCTGTTGTTACTGTTTGCTAGTCGCTTCGGTTCGTTTGGCTGTGAAGAACAACAGCAAAGACAAATACAAATACAATAACAAAAGCAAAAAGGTAAACAGATCAACTCACCAATAACACACACAAAACAAAAACAAAGCGTGTCGCAGGTAAACTAATTAAGAGGTAAACATACACAACACAGCACAAGCACAGTAAAAAAAAATTAAACAAACAACACGAACAAGTGCAATTATTATTACAATATTTGTTTATTACGATTATTATTATTATGCATAAGCTAAATATAAATAGATTAATTACTTTGAAAACCACGTTTTGGAAGTCTCTGGGACGCCAAACTTTCAGCGCTGGAGTCGCGGTCGCAGTCGCAGTCGCTGTTGCCGCAGTTGCAGTGACGCTGGCAAGAATGCAGCTAAAATAAAAACACACACACTTCGCTTGTTGTTGTTGTCGTTGTTGCAGCGAGAGCAGAGTCGGCGAATTGTTGTTATTGTTGTTGTTCTTATCGCACGTCCCTCAGCAGCCACGTTCAGTTTTTAGTTTTAATTGTTTTTGTTGTTTTTGTTGCTGCTGTTGTCTAGTTCGTTTCGTTGAATGAAATTATTTATTTTGGTTCCATAAAGTATTTATTGAGTCAACCATTTGAACGAAACTAGCAAACATTGTTTGTACGCAAATTCACTTGGCCATCAGCAACAAATGACTACTCGAACAGAAACTGAAACACGCGCGCATTTTGCGGCACTTATGCAAAATGATGCGCGCGCGAGCGTCACACGTCCGCCTCATTCGGCTTCGTTTTTGCTTCTGAATTATCGATGATACACATTTGCTTGAAATGGCGCGTTGTTATCGATAACTTTTGATTCAGTTTACAGCTGTAAACGCGTATTCTGTTTAGGTACATTGCCATTTTGAGTTTAACAGTGCGATTTAATGTAAAACCATTCAGTTAACATGCTGTTAAGCCTTATTTTTCAACTTTATTTTTCTAGTTATAAGTATGTAACGTATATAGATAAATAGATAAAACGTATGTCTGCATTATGCAGATATATTAATATTAATTATTTTGAAATATACGATTTTCCATAACAATTTTTGTTTCGACCGAAGCTATTTCATTTAAATGTTTTTATAAATAAATATTTGTATGGTATTTAAATACAAACTGATGCATACAACTTCCATAGCCCTAAATAAAAAGAGTGTGGCCCCTTTGGTATCTGTCATCATCAAATCCCAAAATTAAGTTAATTATTTACGGAACTAAGTTCATTTCCGCTTCCTAGAGGTTCTGGAAATCAAAATGGCGGACGTGACCGCAGAGGCTGCTGCTAATTGGGATATGATGATGATGTTGGTGATTATGATGGTGATCAAAAATTAAAAACATAATTGGAAATATAATTTTTAGGCCTTGATTGGGTGCGGCAAGCCGCTAATTAAAAAGCGCTTTTGCTAATTAACTGCTGGTTCCAAATCAAATCATATTAAATTTAGTTGAAAAGGATGCCAATTTGGACTCACAAAATTAACTTCATTCACGCAGATTCTTGCATTGGGCAATTCATCAGCGATTGTCAAGCTGGCCGTGTTTATAAATCTTCGACGCTGTCGAATTAGTTGCGGCCTTTCGTGGACACCCCCAGTATCCTCCGCCTGCCTCCCTTATCCATCTCCGACCTGACCTTAGTTCATTGCGCCTCTTAGGGCCACCAACATATTGGGGGCAATATTTCTTGGTGCGTAACGCTGTCAATTAGAAGTTGCTGTGCGTTCGAAGTCCTGACCCAGTCCAAGGAGAATTCCCTTTTGACTGACATGGCAAATTAATTTTACACTAGTTAAATTAAAAAATTGCATGTCGTTCGTTTTGTCTCTTTGTTTTTTGTCCTCCATGAAAAAGAGTACGGGAATGTTAGCTGGAGAAACAAGGCTTTTCCGACCCAGCGAAAACACATGTATGTACATATTTACATACATATTCGTTACCATCAAATATATCCGCCATTCTCAAATTGATGTAATCGAATTTAAATCTAATTTACAAGGATTCAGTTTTGGATTTTGATGCACGTCTGCTTTTCCATATTCTCTGATAATTTTATTACATTCGAACCATAAACCGAAAATTTATGCGGAACACTGTTTTCCCTTTAGCTTGAAGCCATTGCGGCTGATTGTACATACATGTATGTATTTTATTTATTTACATTTGTATACATGTACCTTGGGGTATTTAAGATCTGGCTTCAGTTGACCTCCCGAGTCCAGTCCAATTCTGAATCCACTGGAAATAAGTAACAAGTTTTGTGCATAGCTATGCTCGGGCAGGTATCTCCGACCCTATAAAGTATGTATTCTCTCTGTCAGCAGCAGTTGTCGAGTCGACCTAGATATATCCGTGGCATCACAGATATCTTATAGTAACGCGCCGATCAAGTATATTTCAAATCATTCATCAATGATCCTTAGATTATGTGCTTGAACAAATCGCGGAGATAAAAAAGGGAAATATACCAACTTTACTAGTAGATTCCTCTCGTGGAAAGCACAGATCCAGAAAATGTTGCTTCTTAGTGGAAGAGCCTTTAAGGCCTAAATCATTCAAATCGGAGCTATTAGACAATGCAATTCTCTGAGGTAAGAAGTATGTCCCATTCGGGCACTTCCAACTTGTGCCACTCTTTTGTTTTAATTACAACTTTTGGCTTACGCACTGCAATCGATTCAAACCGGGCGCTGAATGCTAGTAAGCATTTATCCGCAATATGTATTGAAAAAGGACACCAAAACTTATCAACACTGGCAAAAAAAAGCTGAGTTCACGTATATAGCCTATGTGAACCTAAGTTTACGATACAAATTTTGATATAAATATTTTTGTGTATTATAACTGGATAGATTTATTCGAGCTGAAAGAGTTGCAGTTCTTAACGATTAAAATTTCTTCTTCTATGTTAGTTCTAAATATATTATTATTATTAGAAGTAGAAGTATTAGTAGGTATACTTGTATTAGATAATGTTAGGAATTTTCTATTCGACCAACATTAGATTGTTTTCTAAATTTCTTTCCCATCTCCGTTTAGTTTTAATTTTTCAACCTAAACTAAACTAAAAGTAAGAAGGCTTATAACTTTTCTCTCAGCGTAGCCACAAAATGTCAGCCGAAACCTTAATTACAGTTGCACGTTTGACAAATCTGAAAGTTTGCAGCGATGCGCATCAGAATGAGAAATGTTCGATGTCTGTGTGCAACAGGTGCTGCATCAGTTTTCAATGGCAACAGGAGAAGCAAAAAACGGCTGAGGAATGTGGAGGGGAGGGGGCCAGTAGGGGGGCATGCTTGTTGCATGCTCTCGCATTGCATTCGTTGATTGGGCTGACTAATTGGCGTTGTCAGGCTCCGTTGCACTTCTTCCTTTTGCTTGCAAAATGATGCGAATAATTCCTCGAAAATGCAACCTACGCAACTGCGTAGGAGGTTATCAGAAAATTGGGTAACTTTCCTTTGCCTTTCATTCTTTGGAAATTGCAACTTGGGCAGAAATACTTCATGCTAAATTAAATCAACGTTTTGTGTTGTAATTCGATTATTCTTAAATTACACAAAGCAACACCAGCTTATTGTTAGATATTTAATCTAATTAAAATAAGAAATAGTTGAAAGTAAAGGCATTTTTAGTTTACTAGTTTAAGCTTCATATGTTCGTTCGAACAGGAAAATTTAATGTCGCACTTGCCAACTTTAAGCGCTAGTATGAAAAAACTACTATATAAATATAATGAAAAGGTTTTGAGATAAAAATCAATTAATTTTCAAACTTTCGCGTTAAAAAATGGAAAAACACATTAGGTTATCTGATTTAGTGCGCAATAAATTCGTGATAATTTAACAAAATAAATATTTTTAAATATTTAATAAATGCGAAGTCTCTTGTTTCTGTTGTCTATTGAAGAAATGTCCAAATTCGGGAAAAATGGTTTATCATCCGAAAAAATAACATAATACTTTTTTGCGTTACACAAGAAGCAATATTTAAAACTTTCTATTAAAACACTCAACATTATACAAACTACATACATTTATTAAAATGTTCTTAACACCGTGGCAAACACTTTTAAACTTTTGAACACATAATTTAAAAAAGAAATGAGATAAAATCGTTTCTTAGCCATCAAGCCAATGTATCTTTTTAGCCTTGTTCACAAATATTTAACCTGAGATAAAGTCGAGCGCATAAAAGGTTTAAGGCTTAAAGGCCTAAGAAACAAATCAAAAAATTTAGGATTGATTTCAATCGCAGTTTTTTGTGAAGCGTAACTATAGTTGAAAACATAGTTTCTGTTTCATAACATCCGTCTGCGCTGGCTCCCTTGCCAAGTTGTATTGGCTCGAGTTACCACACAGGGGGACACCTTGCTTGTCAATTGTCATAATCATTGCCAGCTTACTTATTTACGACTCACTGCATTTAATACTGCTGCTGCTTCCGCCTACTGGCCACCACTGTTTACCAGGTGAAGATGACACGCGTCATTTGTGTCTGCTCCAGCAACAGCACCTCTACATGCCAGTTCAACGTGTGGCTTGGTGCAGTTATATAAATAGACAAAGACTAGCGTAGCGGAGGGTATAATGTTGGTGCATGCTGCTTGACGTGGAAGATAGCTTAAGGCACGCGCCAAGGACACTTCTCAAGTTGCTTTTTAGATCTCCTTATACCCATATCTCTCTATATAGAAAGATAAATATATACATTTATATCTCAGTTGATTGGTTTGCCATCATCGAGACGCTTGTGCACTTTGAGCGCATTGAAATATTAAAGTCATACATAAATTTAACCATAAAGTTACAAGCTGTTGCAAGCTGTTTATACACACACACATACACACACACACACACACACACAGAGACGAGCAGGCTGCAATTCCATTTATGACTGGCAGCGGGCTTAAGCGGCGTATGCGTATTTATTATGCAGCGCGCATAAAAGTATGCTATAACATTTTGTAAAATTTTCAACTTTCGCACCCACAAACACGCACACAGACACCACCGCCATAATCTAACGCGTTTAAGTACTTAAGCGCCACAATAATGTCAATCTAAGCTTTTGCAGCAAGAACTTCAATTTGTTGTACAATCTACCTAATGTCGAACATAAATACTTGCGGATATGCGAATTTCTGTAGGAGTTTTTCGACAAACACACTAAATATACCCTTGTCATATAAGTGTAGAGAAGAGATGAATAGATATAAATATACATGGAAGAATATATCTTCGACACCATAAAGTAGATATTTATAGTTTGATTTGAACAAAATCAACAGCCGCGTGTATATAGCCATGCCCGTCTCTTTGCCGGTCTCTTTCTATACAAACTTTGCATGGATCCGGCTTTTGACTGTTGCCACAGGAACGATCGGTCAGAAATTAAGTTTTTGTATGAAATCTTCAAGATATCTTGGCTTTATAGGAAAAATCTGTCAAATATTATTATAGAACTTTCAGGCATCGAACAATGCATTTCTTTGTTGTGGCTGACGAATTATTCGTTTCGTATATTCTCAATATGATGATGAATCAAGATAATAAAACTGAAGCCCCAAGCCGCACACAGCCGAAAGCAATGCACAACGATCGAAATTTATATGCGACGAGGCGGCGTTTGGCGATATGCGTGAATTCCATTTCATTTCATTCGTATGCAAATATTTCTCTTAACCAGTGTGTGTGAGAGTGTGAGCATTGTTGTGTGTATGAGTCTTGTTTTGCGGCTGTGACGCCATTTTGTGCTGC